ATATTTATAAGTAATCTCTGAGTTCCCTTTATCTTACTAATTCTGTTCAATGATAGTATCTTACAAGCTTGGTGTTCACTATAACCAGGATTTTGACATCGGTACACTCTGCTAATTATTGCGTAATAGTTGTGGAAGGACACTTTTGATCTCTCTTTAGTTTTTTGAGACAAGGTTTCTCTGTATAGCCCTGGCAGGCTTGGAACTTGCTTTGTAGACCAGCAAACTCAAGTCTGCTTGCTTCGGCCTCCCAAGCGCTAGGAGGTGAGCACCGGAGCCATCTTTGAGATACCGTAATGATTTGCTAGCTAGAGGGGTGTTTATTTTCTGTTACTTTAATATACCTGAGAGAAGTCAACATACGAACACAGAAAGCTCATTTTGGCTCACTGTTTTGGCTCCCATCATGATGTATTGATTGGAGACTGGAGAATAATCTCCTATAGCCATTGCTGGTTTTGAATAACTGAGTTCATTATATACCAAACACAAGTAGCCAAGTAGCAGACAGAAGCTTCCCATAATACAAAGCATCATCAAATCAAACACTCATGATATCCAGCACAAACTGGATGAGCCTGATTGGGCTTCCAACAGCCAGCAGAAATAAAGTAGGGTTACTAACCAACCTGAGCTTTCTCCTCAGTGGTGAGCTTCTAGCTGCACCTTGTCAGGCAGGCGGTTTCATACACAGGACACACAATAGTAACCTCTGTCAGAAATGCTCACCTTTTTGCTGTTTTCCCTGTCCTGTCACAGAACCAGAGGGATCAACCTGACTGGTGCAGCCTGACCTAGGACAGTTTGGGGGATTTGACAAAGTAAATATGCTGAGATGAGGGGAGGCTTGGACACAATCACCAGTACGGTGTATATTGCCGTCCCCATTGCTTAGGGGCTTGTGGCGAGGCCGCATGCCATGACAGGGGGAGCATGTGGTGCAGCAAGGCTGCCCTTGCAAGTCTGGGAATAAAAAAAAAAAAAAAAAGAAGGATGTGGGGGGGGGAGGGGAGGAGAGGTCCCATAACCCCTTTAAGAGCCGGCTTCTGACCAGAAGGCGTCCCCTGTAAACACTACCCTCGGTAGCACCATAGGCTGGAGAACAAGTTTTTAACACATGGACATTTGGGAGACATTCCAGGTCCAAACCAGAATGAGAGAAGTGTGGGTTTTTTTTTCCTGTAAAACTGCTAATTTCCCAAGTATTGTCAGCACAGATGGTTGCACTGAAATTAAGAAGTATTGTAATAACAATACAAACCAATTTGTATTTTCCCCCTGGTTTAACAATCCCAGATCTTCTCCCCCTGCTGGTACCTTATAAATAGGATATACAGTCAATTTTTTAAAGGGGATTGTTAGTTAAAGCAGTTTGCAGCTTGTGGGTTTTGACCTCTTTGGCCAACCACTGTCTCCAAAAATATTGACGTTATGATTTATAACTGCAGCAGAACCAGCTATGAAGTAGCAATGAGATGATTGTATGATTGGGGGTCAGCACAACGTGAGGAACTGTAATAAGGGGTTGCAGCGTTAGGAGGCTTGAAAACCACTGGGTTAGAGGGACCTGGAGATGTTGGTGATGGACCCTATTCAGGACAGGGGGACTTTGATTTTTTTCCCTCTGGGGTGCTTTCTGACTTCTAGTTTGTCTTTGAGACAGGGTTTTACTATGTGGCTGAGGCTGGCCTCCTGCCCAGTAGTCATCCTGCCTTGGCTTTTGTAGAGGTGGCGGTACAGGTACGTGCTACCGCACCTTGCTTCAGTGGGAACCCTTCTTTCTGAAATGGGTGAGGCCTGTAGAAACCAGCACAGAGGCATCTGTTTATACAGTCACCTGACCAATGTCTTATTTTCCCTTAAATACAAGTTAAAGAGACATTTTCCAGTTACACAAATATGCTCCCTATCTGTCATCTGTAGTGCTTGAATCCCCATACAAAGCATGACAGTCTCATAAGTGAGCTCCCTTTCCCAGAACAAACCATTACGTGTTTGGCATATGGCCTCCATATTTTTCTATGTATATTTTAAGACAAGTTTTCTTATCAGATTGGGCTTTTTCACACACTTAGTTGAGTTTTAATTAGTGTGTAGAACCACACATTCATTTACTGAAGTGTTTTCAAGTTGTACTTAAAACATTTTTGCTCCTAAATATTTTAGCATCAATCTCTTGCAGAATGAGAATACTCTTTTGCAAGTCCTGGTATTATTATTACAGGTAAAAAACAAATTGAGCATCTACTATGTAGTCTATATGTCAACTTACTTACTGCCTCTCTGCAATCTTGCAGATTTTTCAAAGTCTGTTTGCACGCTTTACTTGGTTGTCACACCTCTTCAGTGCCCCCTCTCCTCTTTTGTGCATGGCATGCATGCATGCATGTGTATGCAGATACTTGCTTGTGTGTATGGAGGCCCAAATATATCCCAGGAGCCTTCCTTGATCACTCTCCATCTTAGATGTTGAGGCAGGGTCTCCCTGAACCCAGAGCTCCCTGATTTGGCTAGTCTAGTCATCCAGTTTGCTTGGGGAATCCTCCCCTGCCTCCTGAATGCTGGGGTTATAGCTGGGCCAGGACATCTACTTAGTATTTGTGTGAGTATTGGAGAATTGAACTCAGTTTTCTCATGCTTGCCTGGTAATTGCTTGACCTACAGAACCATTTCCTGACCCTTTTCAATTCCTTTTGATTTGACCACTCTCAACTTTTGGTGATAACTCTTTACTTCCTTCCTTCCTTCCTTCCTTCCTTCCTTCCTTCCTTCCTTCCTTCCTTCCTTCCTTCCTTCCTTCCTCCCTCCCTCCCTCCCTCCCTCCCTCCCTCCCACCCTTCCTCCCTCTTTCCTTTTTTTTTTCTTTTTTAAAACTAGGCTAGCTATCTTACATAATGAACCAAAGCCTGGATTTTCCTGCGTTTTCCCATTAGTAAATTAGATTCTCTAAGGTTATAGTATATTCGGTCTTCCCAAATACATGAAATGTTAGTCCAGGCAGAGATGCACTCGGCCACAACAAACTAACCAATACCCCTGTCTTCAACTGGGTTGCCATGATCAACAACAGCAGTCTGAGCAGTGGTGATGACTCCATACCCCTCTTCTTCATCAGGGGATAGAGGCAATGTCTGAAGACCCTTAGGTTGTCCTGACGAGTGTGTGGGGTCTGGAGACAATGGAAAAGGAGGAATTATTTTGGGTCATGACTTCAGTCCATGCTTGGTTCTGTCTGTTTGGGCCTGTGGTGGTCTGAGTGTCATCGTGGGAAATAATGATGGAGCAGAACCGCTGATGTAGTGTATCAAGGAAGTAGAGGAGAGGAGGGACCAGGGATCCAGCATCTCTTTAGAGGACACATCCTAGTTACCCAGCTTCCTTGTACTGGGCCTCACCTCTGAAAAGTTCCTCTAACTCCCAATAGTGCATCAAGCTGGGGACCAGGTCTTTGATAGTTAAGGGTGGGGCTAGGGGCACATTTAATATCCAAAGCACAGCAGTAAGTGAAAAGGGCTCTCCAGACACGGAGCATAGATGTGGTGCCAAGATGTTGCTGTTGGTGTGCAGGGGATGCCAGCACAGTGCCAAATTTGCTGAAGTCTTTACCTTCAGCAACAGTGTTCTGTTTCTGCAGTGACACCACTCACCAACAAGGTGTGACAGCCCCACACTGTGGGTTCCTCTGAGAGTCTTCGTTAGTTCTACTTCAGCTGCTCAGGTGATAGTTTGGGGGTGTGGCATTTGGGAAATCATCAGGGGAGTAGGACACAGAGGTGGCACTGCTCACACTAGACAATGGCTAATTGCCAGGCTGGACTGAGAGGTGTTTTGTTGGTTGAGGCTGGGGTTAAGGCCATTCTGGGGAGAGTGGATGCCCCAAAAGGCACTTTGTGAGGGACCACCAAGCTCAACTCCTACTTTTCTACAAACTCCTCAATGCCATACTTAGGTATCATGGAGCTCTGTTTACACTACATAATCCCCCCCCCCCTGCACACTGGATCGGACCAAAGGTGTCTAATGGAGGCAGAGTGGGCCAGAGACCACCAGGATCTTCAAGAGTGCACAGAGGAGAAGCCTGTGAACTGGGATGTACCGGAAGCCTCTTTAGCACAAGTCAGGCATCCCAGGGCAGGGCCATCTGGGCTCTGACCTAGAGGTCACTGCCAGCTCGGCAGAGTGTTCTAGCTTGATGACGACACATTTCCCGCTTTGGTCTAGCGACCGAGTTAATGACTAATCAGTGACCCAAAGAGCCCTTAGCTATCTGAGGGGTAGACTTGCGGGCCCCGTGGGCCTCAGTTCAGCTTCTGGTTTAGGGAACTAAGTGCAGACTGGTGTTGGGTTTCTGTCTAGGTTTTCTTTTGCTATGACAGAGTTGGGTGGACCAAGTGGCCATCTGTGGTGGGGTCGGTGTTAGTGACTGTCTTCAGGCAGTGCAGAAACAGTGGGGTCCCAGAGTGAGGGTTTTCTCAGCTTGGCATGAGCAACAGTGGTCTGTACTGTTCCCCAAATGTGCCAAAGCCAGGAGTGGGCTATGGCCATGTTAGCGGAAACTTGATGGATGGGACAGTCTTCCAGAGGGCCCCGGGATGAACCGGGATGGGTCCTGCATCAAAATAGATGAAGTGTAGAAGTGTTCCAGGGCAACCTTGAGGTTTGGAGATACTCTGACATGGGGAATCATACAAATAGCCATGTGGTTACAAGGGTGATGTCACTTAGTAGACAGGTAGCTTATAGACTGTGAAGAGAGTCATTGTGCCTCTCTTGGCTTCCGTGTCCTCAAGAGAAATACCACCTGTGTCACAGAGCCACATGGCCCGACTAGCTCATGGCACATTCTTGGTAAATGGTAGTTAGAATCATGACAAAACGACACAGGACAGAGGATGGGGTTGACTCTGTAAACCAGGGGAAACACAGCCTTATCTAAGAGATGCACCCTGGTGGATCATTACCTTGGATACTGTCTGCACGAGTGAATTCAATACTCTTGACTCTGTCACACAGAACTATTTCTAGGTCCATTTTACAGAAAACAGAAACTAAAGGAATAAATCTGCTTGCCCAAAGACACACAGACAAGAATGGACAGAGCTTGGTGATCTATGTCTTCAGTGAAAGCAAGTTCTGACAGCCACGGCAGAATTTCTGTACTGCAGGGATGGTAGCAAGGGGGCATGTGGTGGCCAATGTTACCTACTGAGATGATGATATGTCTCCAAGAACTTGTTAGGTCAGGGCCGACCACTACGCCTTCCCTGTGCCCAGCCACACCCTTCTCTCTTTGACCCCCAACAAAGGAGCTGGGACAGGTCCTGAACTACAAGCTACCTTCCAAAGACATGAACAGGTCTCTGTGGGTGGCCTGCAGCCCCTGAGGTCATGCAGCGGAGGCCCCAGGCGATTTGGTGGCTGTCCTACACCCAGATTCGAGATTTCCTCATGCTGAGGCTATTCAGCGCTGCCTGGATGACCTCTGTGAAGTGTTCCAAGTCTGGCAGGGTCAGGAAGTTCAGACTCCTACTTATTTTACCCAGAAGGGCCTGGATCTTCCACGATGTTGGGCCGGGTCCTGTCTCCAGGACCGTCTTCTTCTTCATGGCTTGAAGCAGTTTCAGGTTTACAAACTGTGGGGTGTGTAGAAGGCTGGGTGAGGATTAGTGCTGCTCAGACGCCGTACCCCCACCCAGGGCTTAGCCCCACTGTGACCCCGCTGGATATCCCGGGAGCCTTCACCCTCGGGGGCAGAGCTCCGCCCCTAGCCCTGCTACCTGTACCCTTCCTGGACCGCTCCTATGGTCAGGTGACCTGCCGATGGGGCTCCTTTCTAGGGGAACCAGGGCTGAGGCAGCTCTTGTGTCTGCGCAGTTCTGTACTATTTTGGGGTGTGTATGTGAGAACGGTGCTCTTGGGGAGGACCAAAGAGGATAAATTTCTCCCTTGCTTCTGGCCTTAGTTTCCGACAGGGCCACTGTGAACCAGCGAAGCAGCTTGTATAGACAGCATGCATCTGTTCCACAGGAGGCTCCTTGGGGTGTTGGTGTCCCTGGCGCCCAATCCTGAGGTGCTGGCATGTCACATGAATGGGTGTGTATGTGTCTGAGTGTGAGGAAAAGGAAGGCAATATGATTGCAGTGGTTTGAATGAAAATGGCCCCCAAGGGCTCCTAGGAAGTGGCACCATTAGGAGGTTTAGTCTTGTTGAAGGAAGTGTGTCCCTGGAGGCGGCCTTGGAGGTTTCAGAAACTCTGTTTAGCCCAGCGTGTCTCACTTTTCTGCCTGCCCATGCAGATGTAGAACTCTCAGCGCCTTCTTCAGCACCATGTCTACCTGCATGCCATGATGTCAATGAACTAAACCTCTGAGCTATAAGTCAGCCCCAATTCAATGCCTTCCTTGATAAAAGTGGCCATCATCATGGTGTGTCTTCACAGCAATTGAAACCCTAAGACAATGGCTAACCTTGATTGTTGTGCTGGGTGGTTTTTAGTCGACTTGGCACAGGCTAAAGTCATCTGGGAGGAGGGAACCTCAATTCAGAAAATACCGCCATAAAATTGGGCTGTAGGTAAGCCTGTAGGACATTTTCTGAATTAGTGAGGAAGGGCCCAGTCCATTGTGGGTGGGGCCATCCCTGGGCTGGTGGTCTTGGGTTCTATCAGAAAGCAGGCTGAGCAAGCCAGGGGAAGCAAGGCAGTAAGCAGCATTCCTCCGTGGCTTCTGTATCAGCTCCTGCCTCCAGGTTCCTGCCCTGTTTGAGTTCCTGTCCTGACTTACCTCAATGAAGAACAGTGATAAGGAAGTGTAAGTCAAATAAACCCTTTCTTCCCCAACCTGCTTTTGTCATGGTGTTTTGTCACAGTGACAGAAACACTAAGACAGGCTTGTCACCTTCATTGGACTGAGAATCACCTTGGAGATTACTAAAGCACACTTTTCTCTGTGTGACAGCATTTTTAGATATGGATTAATCCCTTGATGGATTCTGAATAGGATGGCATTGTTATAGGGGGTGATGAAAAATCCAAGGTGCAGTCTAGCTGGAGGAAGCAGTCTACCCAGAGTATGTTCTTGGGGACAGTATATTTTCCTCACTCTGATCCCTTCTCATTCCCTCTTGTCTGATTGGGGGAGTGAAGACTTTACCTTGAACTTGGTGCCCATGTTTAAGCAAATCTTCTTCTGTTTGGGGGCAAAGAAGCAGAAGATGACCTTGTCCTGGCTCCTTATTTGTACGTGGATGTACTTGTTGAGTTTCAAAGTGATGCTCATGATGGGGGGCGCGTGCACATGGAATCTCAGGTTCCACCAGTTCCAGGCCTTCTGATGCTTGTCTTTGGGGAAGTAGTAGCCCAGGAGTTTGCTCAGGCTCAACCTGGGGGATGGAGATGGGTCAGAAACCACATCTGGTGCTTGGGCCTGCTCCTGAGTCAGGGCTCCTGGTCCCCTCTGACCCTCATTCTCTCCCTTCTCTGCCTAAGCCTACAAGGTTTTGGTGGGTGTGCTGGATAGTTTTATGTCGACTTGATACAAGTTAGAGTCATCTAAGAGGAGGGAGCCATAATTGAGAAAATGCCTCCGAAAGATTCAGTTGTAGGCAAGCCTGTAGGGCATTTTCTTAATTAGCGATTGATGGGGGAGGGCCCAGTTCATTGTGGGTGGTGTCATCCCTGGGCTGTTGGTCCTGGGTTCTATCAGAAAGCAGGCTAAGCAAGCCATGGGGAGCAAGCCAGTAAGCAGCAGCCCTCCATGGCCTCTGCATCAGCTCCTGCCTCTGGATTCCTGCCTTGTTTGAGTTCCTGTCCTGATTTCCTTTGATGAACAGTGACATACATGTAAATGAAATAAATGCTTCCCAACTTGCTTTTTAGTTGTGGTGTTTCACTGAAGCAACAGTAACCCTAACTAAGACAGTGGCATAGAGCGGTTCCAACAAGGAATGTGCACCCAGATCTAGGCTCTATCTTTAGATTCAGTCATGGCTTCCCTTTGCCTCATGCAGCAATCCTCCTCTCCTGCTCCTCGCTCCCTTGAGAGCTTTGCATAACTCTTCTCCACCCTAGTGATCCCAGGCCCACAGATCTCTCTCCTGCTCTGACCATCTCTCTGCCCTTTGGGTGTTGACAGACCTTGGGGTTATAGCTGCTATTCAATGACTTTTAAACTCACTTTTTATCAGGAAGAGTAAATGCCCTAAGATCTGTGCATCAGGTTTACATACAACTCAGGGCAAGTGACTGCTATCCTTTGTGTCCACATTTCTTCACCTACAGTGACCAGGTCCCGGATTTCTTCGAGTTCTCTTCTGACCTTAAAACTTTAGAGAGAAGAGACCGCATGCCACAAGACAAGATTTGCTATCATTAACTGCATTTCTTGCCTTAAGGACCCGACTTTGCAAACAGCATGTTCTACACACGTGACTGTCCAAGGAGAGCAGATAGTACTCGAGTACATAAGCCAACCAGACAATGGCATTTGGAAGCCAAGGCCTGGGGGACGAGAGTAGACTTTTAGAAATAAAACAGCCTTTGGTTTTGATGAAAATGCATTGACCCATGATAGTAGCTTTCTCCCACTCCGTAATCACTTCAGCTGGAAGAGCAAGTACTGAGGGGACCTAGTAATCTTGAACTGGAAAGAGAAAGCTTTCACCATTGCCAGAACTGGAGACTTAAGAAACAAGCTTGATCTTAATGAAATATTTAGAATGTGTCTTTTGACTCTGTATATGATGTGTCTGTTCCGAAGCCCCACTCCCAGGCTTCTAAAATGGAGAGCCCCTTTTGGGGGCAGTTCTTACGAGGTTGGACCTTTGGAGGGTGTTTAGAGGTGAAGCCAGTGGCCTGTGGTCATAGAGGCCATGACTGCTCTTTCACTCTGGGGGGTGCTGTGACACCTTCTCTTGAGGGCACGGTCTGTACGAGTCCTTTGTGGTGTCCCTTCTCTTGTTCCCAGCATGCACAAATTAGGAGACAGGGACCAGGCTTCCACATGGCCCAAGTGGTGGCGTCTGAAGACTCCAACTTACCAGATCCCTCCATCCTCATTGTAGAAGGTGGCATGGCCAGAGTTGGTGACAAGGCCTCGGACCTTTTTTTCTGTGCTGTCTTCCAGAACAATGTATGTGGCCTTGGTGAGCCCATTACAGGCGATGAGCAGAGCCAGGTTCCCTGACGGGTAGCTTCGAGTTGGTTAAGGCACAAGCAGTTTCTTTGGTCAGCCCCTCTCTCCCAGAGAAAAGTTAGGCACCAAAGAGAACACAGTTCTCAGTCAAAACACATATGCCAGGCCAAAATCGTGAACATTTTAGGTCAACATGAGCATCTCCTCTTCCCCAGTGGATACTATATCTGGCCCGTGCCATTAGGAAAAAGAATGTGGAAATTCTTCCCACTGTGGTAGGCAATTAATTTTCCGTCACCTCGATGTGCCTGAGAAGAAGAGACAGGGAAAGCAGGCAGGTGACAACTGTCCTTCAGGGAGAGGTGGGATCACTCTCGTGCTCAGCATCTGCCTCTGCTTGCTCCGAGCACTCATATGCTACCTTAATGGAAAGGCGGCTAAGCCATAGAGAGCACTAGTTGCTCCTGCAGAGGGCCCAGGTTCATCCCCAGAACCCACATGGTGGTTCACAACTAATTGTAACTCTGGTTCCAGGGGATCCAACAACCTCTTTTAACCTCCACAGGCACCAGACATGCACCTGGTACACATACATACATGCAGGCAAATCACTCATACATGTAAATAAGTCTTAAAAGAAGACATATACTCTCAACATTGCAGAGGCAACATGTGTGAAATGAAGATGTGGGTTAGGTCTCTCAAACCTGTGAGGAAGGCTTGGCAATCCCTCTATCTCCTGCACACATCACCCCAGTCTCTGCCTCTGTTTCTGTGTGGTAATGGTTTCTTTCACGGTTTCTTGTAAGTGGGTAGGGACCTATCTACTCGTTTACTATTCTAATATGCCTTCATCTGTGTTTGACTAATTACATCCCCAGGGATGCTTTTTCCAGCTGAGGCCATACTCTATGGCACTGGAGGTTAGGACATTAACATTTCCCTTTAAGGGAACACAGTCAACCCGCAACACTGGTAAATTAAGTTTTTAAAACGTTGTTCTTGAATTACTTTTAGTAAATGATATTTTTCTAGGAAATTATCATTTTATGTAAAACATTTCATTTATTGCCATACAAAACTTGCATATACTGTTAAAAAAATCTTGACTTCCCCTGTCCTTATGTCTTCATTCTTTTTATACTTAAAAAATTTTCCCCCTGTATCAATCTTGCCAGAAAGCCTGCTTGCTTTGCTAGTTTTTTATTTCAACACACTGGTTTATGTTTTATTTGTTCCAGTTCTTTGTTTATGCCTTGTAAGTTTCTTTTGTAGATCTGAATACTAACCTTTGGGCTTCTACCCTTCTTCTTCATGATTTCCCCACTTCTTCCTGCATTTTACGAGCAGTTAAAATAACAAGGTCCAGTTATTGTGCTATCTGTTTCCCAGGAGTGAAGCCATTTCATTTTCATCTTTATTTCATCTTAACATTTTCAAGGACCAATATGATTTCTTCTTTGATGTCAGAGCTATGTCAGTGTTTTTACATTTGGCAATGGATATGGTACGTTTGGTGACACCATCGTTGTTATTAATGAAAATGCATTGGAGGACTTAGTTTATATGATGTTTGCTGTTACTTGTTTAGTGGGCTATTGTGTGCCCAGTCTGCAGATACCCCACGGGTGTATAGAAAAGCTATGTGAGTTGATTAGGCTAATTGGAGAATGCTTCCTTTAGTTTATTGAAGTGAGAACGGGTGGGGGAGTGAGGGAGCCAGGATCTAGTGAGGCTTCTAACCCTATCGTGTAACCTAGAGGACCTTTCCCCTGTGTGCAGAAGTTTGCTCGGGTTGCCTGTATCTCCCTTCTACATGTAGGAAGGAGAGATGGAGGGTGTGGAGCACGTATGGAGGTCGGATGATACTGGACAGTGCTGCTCTCCCGTTTTCTTCCATCACGATCGTACGCACACTGCTAGCTGATTTTCCTCTGAGTGCAAACTGATGACACTCCACTCTGGACACCCAACTGGCACTTTCCTGCCCAGCTCCCTTGCAGCTAAGCGGGGGTCGTGTGAGTGTCCTCCTTGATGGCATTTAAATGTGACTTATAGCTTTGGGAATTCTATCAAGGCAAGTAGGCACCAGAACTCTGGGATAATAAAGACCACTTGATATATAAGCCAGGCTAACTTCTTACCCATGATTCTCCTGCCTCGGCCTCTAGCTCCATTCTATGCATGTGCTTCAATTTATTCACTGAGTAACTGATTTTTACAATGTTGATTCTAATTTATTACCAAGGAAACTGCCTATTAAATTAAGTTTACTATTAAAGAATTGTTCATTTATTTTAAAGTGTGTGTGTGTGTGTGTGTGTGTGTGTGTGTGTGTGAGAATACCATGTGTGTCGGTGCTTGAGATGTGACATACCTAGACTTGGAGTTATGGTCAGTTGAATTGCCTGATATGGGTGTTGGGACTTGAACTCAGGTCCTCTGTACATTCTCTTAGCCATCTCTGCAGTCCCACTATGCAGTTTCTTTATTCTGATCCTTACACCTAATTGCTTAATACAGGTCCTATGGGGAGAAGATGCTCAACCGGGCTACTGAAACCCCAGTCAATGTTCCAACAGTCTACATAGGCAGCTGGGTCTCTACATATGGAGGACATTTTTTTTTCTTGTTTGTGTCCACTGGTGATGCGTGTGCCTCACCGGATCCAAAAATAAAAACAAAACAAAACAGGGAGCACATGGACACATTGCCATTTTTACCTTCATCTTTGCCTGTGTCCATTCTGTATCTAGCTTTAACTTCTTCCTGAGAGTAGAGCTATGTCTTAGGATCTTTTCTGTGTCTGGCTTCTCAGGCCGTATCAGAGTTGATAGTAGGTATGTAACGGTAGTGGTCGTCTCGGGCATTTCCTCGTCTGCTGTTCAGAGAGTATACGACAAGTGCTTTCATTCGGGTGACTGCATCAGTTACGGTATTGATGGGGGAAGAGGAACTGAGTTAGACTCCATCTGACAAGGTGCTCCAGGGTTTGAGGGCTCAGCCACTCAGCAGGTAAGTGGGGCATGCTGGGGGACCAGGGGAAGCAAGGCCTATTTCTCCATTTAGCCATTCAACAGGTATCATTATGGGCCCAATGTGCTCCAGCCCCATGCTGGGTGACAAGCAGAGGTGAAGCGTAGCCAGCACAGCCTGGAGGATGCAGGGGTGCAGTTATGTATTCATTACAGAACAGTGGGTGCTGCACTTGGCTGAACTCATGGGATTAGCTTTTCAAAAAAAAAGGGAAATGTAAAATATAAATGTCTGCTAACATGTTATTTAAGATGTAGGAAGAAGCCCTTCTTTTGAGGTCTGATGGCTGGTGCCCTTGATCATTTTTATTTAAATTACACTTTAGTTTTAAATTAATTTTTGAGATAGGATCTCATGTAACTCAGGGTGGCATTGATCTCCTGACCCGGTGACTACCTCTGGGGTGCTGGAATTATAGGCACATGCCTCAGCTCCTGGTTTATGCAGCACTGGGGTTTGAACCTAGGAGCTAGTACTTATAAGACAAGCACTCTCTTGACTGGCCCACATACTAAGCTCCATAGTTTATTTCTCGCAATTCAGTTTTGACAATTTCTAAAAGGTTAATAATCTTTAAAAATATTCTACACAGTCTCCAAACATTTTGCATATTTGGTTCACATTGTGCGAAAAGCAGGTTTTTGAAATGTTATTTTCTTATTGAGCTTCTAAAAGAGCATTTTAACCTAGTTTTCATGGAAACCCATTTCTATATTAATCTTCTTGTCTTTTTATAACAGTAGAGCTAGAGGGCCAAGCTCCCTTCCCATGCTTCTCGGTGAGCTGAACAGGGTACCAGGAACCACAGCGAGCACCTGCTGCCCTTGACATCACTCTCGGTGGGGGTAAGGACACTGACTTCCTTAGCATCTGGGTCAGGGGAAGCTGGTTAAACAAGCCCTCATGTCTGCCATTTGGGGCCAGTATAGGCTGCCATGAGAGCTCACAGGGAAAGGGAATAAGGTTTTGAAGACCAAGTGTCTTCAGTAAGGCATGTCTATAATGTGCAATATTTGAGGGGGTCCTAACATAAGAACTGGGTGGCTGAGGATTGGAGTAGGAATGTGTTAGTAGGGACTTGGTAGAGGCAGGCACTGCTAGACCATCAGTTTGCTTGTGTTCTCAAAAACATCCTGAGTACAGAGAAGTATCCTAAGCATGATGAGGAGCATGGTCCCCACTGTCTCATGTGTTATGCCAGATGGGTACAAATGCTTTGAAGAGCTGCTATGCAGAGAAAGAAGGATGTCTAGTGGCAGGTGCATACTGTGCTTTATAAAAGGAAGCCAAAGAAAATATTACTGAGAATGTAGCATTTAAGCAGAGTCCTGGATGAGGTGAGGGAGTCAGCCACAGGATGTTGGAGACAAGGGTGTCCCAGGCAGAAGTAACAGAAAGTACTGAGGCTTTACAGCAGGGGGACATTGGCTCTGATGATGACAGGGCAAAAAGTCAGTGTGGCTTGAGAGGCAATGTTGAGAACCTTGTAAACTCTATGAAGAATGTAGACATCTTGGAGATCATGGGATCCAGTGAAAAGTCATAATGCTAATGTGTGGGAACAATGTGAAGAAAGCGGGGAGTCAGGGAGAACTGAATCTCAAGGAAAAAGTGTCCAAATCCCAGATTCCTTAAAATGGAAAGACTTTGTCTCTGACTATGACAAGCGTGACGTTGCTGTGAAACAGTGTGTTCAGGGTGCCACCCAGCAGCTGGTCAGCTTTGCAGATGGACTGGGCGTGAAGCTGGGGTTAAGCCTCAGTGCCACAGGAAAGCCAAGAGTTTTGCATTTTGATGGTGTCTAATGTAAGTTGTAAAGTTGTGTCATGTTCTTTGATGGTTTCTAATGTAAGTTGTAAAGTTGTGTCATGTTCTTTGATGGTTTCTAATGTAAGTTGTAAAGTTGTGTCATGTTCTTTGATGGTTTCTAATGTAAGTTGTAAAGTTGTATCATGTTCTTTGATGGTTTCTAATGTAAGTTGTAAAGTTGTATCATGTTCTTTGATGGTTTCTAATGTAAGCTGTAAAGTTGTATCATGTTCTTTGATGGTTTCTAATGTAAGTTGTAAAGTTGTGTCATGTTCTTTGATGGTTTCTAATGTAAGTTGTAAAGTTGTATCATGTTCTTTGATGGTTTCTAATGTAAGTTGTAAAGTTGTATCATGTTCTTTGATGGTTTCTAATGTAAGCTGTAAAGTTGTATCATGTTCTTTGATGGTGTCTAATGTAAGTTGTAAAGTTGTGTCATGTTCTTTGATGGTTTCTAATGTAAGTTGTAAAGTTGTAGCATGTTCTTTGATGGTTTCTAATGTAAGTTGTAAAGTTGTAGCATGTTCTTTGATGGTTTCTGTTGAATCATGTTCTCTCAGGCCTCCTCCTCTTTGTTCTTGTTATTGCCCCCCTCCTCTTCCTCCTACTCCTTTTCTTCTCCTCTTACCCCTCTTTTTTTGTTTTGAGACATGGTTTCTCTGTGTGGCTCTGGATGCCCTGGAACTCACTCTGTAGACCAGATTGGCCTTGAACTCAGAGATCTACCTGCCTCTGTCTCCTGACTGTTGGGATTAAAGGTGTGCATCACCACTGCCCAGCTACTGTGTGCCTTTTTGTTGGAATAGATGGTCCTGGATAGGAGATGCTATCTCATTCAATGATGCAAAATAAAAACACAAGGACTCTTGTTCTGAAATCACTAAGGATTTCAAGACAATGACAGCAGGACTTTATAACAAGCACAGAATTGTTTGCAGAGTGGCCACCTGTATAGTTTCCAACCTTAGCCTGGAAATTAGAGTTTTAAGACATGTGGGGAGGTATATCATTAATACAGGACAATAGGCCAGACACAGGAAGTAAGTGGATAGCGTCTCAAAGGTGCCTAGAGGTTTCCTTGGAACTGGCTATCTCAAGACCATGAAGGGGAAGACACTCATCAGTTAAAACCATTGCTTTTCTGTATAGGCTGCTCAAAAAGTTTAGGCTTCAGGTATCCAGAGGGTTCAGGCAGGCATGATGGTGGTGCATTATGGTGACCCCAATCTTATTATTATTTCATTTTCAAATTGGAAGTTGTGCTGGTTAGTTTTAACTGTCAACTTGACACAGCCTAGGATCACATGGGAAGAGTTTTAATCAGGAATTATCTAGATCAGGTTGGCCTGTGGGCATGTCTGTGGGTCAGTCTTGATTATAGGATTGCCTTGATTGTTAATTGCTGTAGGAAGACATGGGCCATTGTAGGTGGCACCATTCCCTAGGCAGTGGGAGTGGGGTTCCTGAGTAGTATTAGAGAGGAGAAATCTAGCTGAGAGCAATCAAGTAGGCAAACAAAGGTCAGGCATGGGTAGAGACTGGTAGAATGGTGCTTACTGTGATGTCTTTTCATAATCCACAGAATTGTTTCTCTGTATTTGTTAAAATTTTTCTTCAACCTGAAAGAAATGTAAATAATCTTCAAAAGTCAAGTTTAACCCATGTTTGCGTATCACAATAAACAGTGTAGTGGGTTTAGAGGTTCTGGAGTCTTTTATCAGGGAAAGCTAGATGGATGGCTCTGCTGTCTGACCCACATTCCCTTCTGGTTGGTGCTCTCAAGAATTAAGGGATGTCACATGGCATCTACTCAGTTCTTTCCATGTGGCCTGTAACTGATCAGCATGGGTAGTTAAACTGATCTTTCAAACTGAATCCAGTGAAGCTCATGTTGGGGCCAGGAACAGACATGGAGGTCCAGGTGCCAGAGTATCTATACGAGTTAAGTTCCTGCAGCCTGCTTCTCTATGGTTTATCTGAATCCCACGGGGGCTACATCTGGACATGGCTTGGAAAAATAGCATTGTCCATGAACTGGCCAGAACCATGCAAAAGCCCTTGAAACTCAAAACAATATGTAACCATTCCGATTGCTAGATTCAACCAAATAGAAACGACACCAGTATCCATGGGAAACAGACATTAAATCAGTTCTGGTAGAAAAACATTCAAGCAGGCTTAGCTAATGTGATTTATCTTTAAAGACAGATCAAGCACCACCTTCCACTGTGATCAAGGCCTTTTACCTGGGCTCGTGTCAACACACAAATCAATGACATTGCTTGCCTTTGCTTCTGTTTTCTGCCCCATATCCTGATGGTTTCCTTCCTTGTGAACTTTGGGCCTGGCAACGGGATCTTGTGTGCATATATGACTCTTGGGTGTTACCCGAGTCCTTGTGTCTGGCCTGGGCTTGCTTCCTGGCTTGGGGCTCCAGCCTGATCCTAGTTCAGTTCTCTTCCCCAGGTTGCAGTGTTTATACTCGGCCTGTTGCCACATTGGTTTCTTGGAACACACTGACCAGCTACCCTCATCAGTTACTTACAAGAGTCCCAGCTTCTTCCTGTTTTCGCTCTCCATTAGCTTATTCAGGGGCATTTCCATGTCCTCTTGCAGTTCATGGTGCGCGGCCAGTTCGGTGATTATCTCCCTGAACACAGTCTGATAGGAGCTTGGAAGAGACTACACAAGGATCACAAGATGACATACCCCATGAGTGGGGATTGACGTAACTTTTCTCTCTCCAGCCATGCCAGATGCGTCCTATCTACTGCTAAGAAACACCAGCTACGCGTGTGAGGCTGCTGAAGGGCTATGAGGATTCTCTTAAAGAAACCTTCCAGGGCCAGGATGATGGTCACTCAAGCCCAATGGTCTTAGTTTGATTCCTGAAATCCATGTAAAACACCAGATGTAGGGGCCTGAATCTGTAATGCCAGGATTTATACCGTAGGAGAGGACAATTACCCAGAAGCTTGGGACAACTACCATGGAGTTTGCAGAGTGGCAGCAGAAAAAGAGAGACAGACCCTGTTTCAATAAGGGAAAGGCAAGAACCAGTTCCCATGACTTGCTCTCTGACCTCTACACACACACACACACACACACACACACACACACACACACACACATTCTCTCTCTCTCTCTCTCTCACCATAAAAGTGCAAAAGGATAAAGAAACCTCCCACTTATATCAGACCCCCATTCTCTGAAGAATCGTGTATAGTATCTGTATGCTAAGAAATCTTTTGGGAACTGTCATGTTTTGACTGTGGAGATGGCTATAGAAGATAAACAATCTTCCATGTTTGAAGCATGTGGCAGGCTTTCTGCATTGTACACATGGCCAATCTCCCAAGGATGGCTGGCTTGCTCAAGATCAAGGCTTTGCAACACCTAGTGTGCGAGTAGTTCTGCATTGGAAGGGGCTTACGTTGTGGTCTTACTCTCTATGTCCTTGTAAGTGGGACCATTCGGTCCCAGGGCTATACTTTTGGCTATGACTGACCCTCAGGTGAATCCCAACCTTGTTTTTTTTTCTCACAGTTTTGATAGAGATGAAAGTAGACTTCATGAAGAGAGCTAGGGTGTTGGGGAAGTCTTATGCTAATAAAGCACTGTCTGGCCAATAGGAATCTAGATAGGTGGGGCTAGGAATCCAGGAGGATGCTGGGAAGGAGAAACACGGGAGCGTTCGAGATGTAATGCCATTGGGGTAGGAAGCCCGGAAACCTCTCTGGTAAGAAACATACTTAGATTAACAATTATGGGGTAATTACTTAAGTCAGAGCTAGCTAGTAAGAAACAAGTAAGGCCAACAGCTTCATAATTAATACAGCGTCTTGTGTGTTTATTTGGGGACTACAATGTGGCAGAGCCCAGGCGGCTGGCGGGGGATAAACCAAAGCGGCTAGCAAAGAAAAAGCTTCTCATAACACTAGGGATGATCATGCCTGTTCCCAGCACATCTCCAGGTTGAGGTTGGTATGGTTGTTATTGTTCAATATATGATAATAGATGTGTACCATTAACTTATTAGCCTCCTACAGTGAACAACTAACCTTATATTGCCTTTCTAAGTTACATCTGATGTGGGACAGTTATAGGACTATAGCTTTGTGGTTTGTGGTATTTCTAGGTTAAGGGGACAGCTTAGGACTGACTTGCCTGGTTGTGATCTCTGAATACCTTTCCTCTACACCCCATACCATTGCTTTAGGGAAGTTTGAGGTTAAGGCCCTTGATATTGGCATCCCTGCCTCCATATTCCTGGTGAAAACCCTACCCTAGGGATAGGAAGACTGTTTGCCTTGCTAGCGATGATTTCTCACCGGACCTTACAGTCCATGTTCTATTTGCCAGAAAATACAGTGTCCACTGTAAGCCCCCAGGTAGTAGACACAAGCAAATGGGTTCACCCAAGGTTCTTGTCTTATCGAGGCTGTGCTGCTCCCCTCTATGTGACACCATTTGGGGTCCTCCCATTTGCTTGTTCAGCCAACTGGGTGAAGCTGTTTATTCTCTCCATGAGGGTAAATTCACTTGGCACCCCAGAGGTGAGGTTTCCTATGCCCAGAGACACTCCTAGGTAAGTCTCTAGTTGTTAGAATAAAAAAAAAATGTTTGCACAGGCCGGGCGGTGGTGGCGCACGCCTTTAATCCCAGCACTCGGGAGGCAGAGGCAGGTGGATCTCTGTGAGTTCGAGGCCGGGCTGGGCCGATAGCCTCCAAAACAATACAGAGAAACCCTGTCTCGTAAAACCAAAAGAAAAAAAAAGTTTGCACAGAAAAAGTTGTTGTACATGAATGTATCTTAGAAGTAAAAACAAGTAATAGTAACTAGAAATAACAAGCGAATTGAGGTGTCAGGGTACCACTAAGAGGACTCAAGCTTCCTCTGTCTAGTTGTAACCCGGTGGCTTCTGGGATCCCCTCAAAAGGTTCCTTTGAAATGTTTTCAGCTGCCTGTACCATGTGACATTCCTTCTCCTAGGCTGGCTAAACTTGCCCCAACATATTTTCTATCAGTTTGCTTGGAGAAGTCCTGTTTTGCCAGGTTATATCAATGAGAGACACACGTTGGAAGTTCTGGGGAAAGGTCAACATGTTAAGGCTGAATGCTCCATGGTGATCACGTAACCTTTAAGATATGGGACTTCGAGAGGGGTCCTTAGGCTGCTGAAGGCATGCCACTTAAAGGGCTTGAATGGCCTTCCTCTCCCGCTTCCCCCTGCTTCTGGTTCAGGATGTGACAGAGGACTGAAATGGGTGGCGCCACCCCAGTCTTGGATGTGAACCTCCAGAACAGTGAATAATAAACCTCACTTTGTGAGTAGCCCGTGCCAGGTATTTCGTCACGGTGACACGGCTGCCGAAGACCCTGGCTGTTGGGAGGGACTGGCGTCTGTGCCCTGGCGCTGCCTCCGAGTTGCAGGCACCCGGTCCTTGAGCAGCAGAGCGGCTGGCTCCCAGCACTGCTGCCCACCTTCCCCTCTCCTTTCATTTCAGTCTAGGATCCCAGCACATCGAGAGGTGCCACTCACTGCTAGGGAGAGAGACTCCCTCACAGACAGGCCCAGAGGTTAGTCCTCTAGGTGATTCTCGATCCCGTCAAGTTGACGGCCAACATTAACTACCACAACCTTTACCCAGCACGACTTAGACCCTTCTATAAGTGAATGGTAGCTACTGAAGGAAGGACCTGGAGAGAAGACATGAAATGTCTTGGGAGGAGATATTATCTACAAGCATCGGAGAGGGGCCTGGGGCACAGGTTTCCCTCAGAGCTCGCAGAAGAGTCAAGACTGCCAACACACTTCTGTTGTAGACTATTATTTTAAGATGTGTTACCTGAGCCGGGCGGTGGTGGTGCACGCCTTTAATCCCAGCACTCGGGAGGCAGAGGCAGGAGGATCTCTGTGAGTTCGAGGCCGGGCTGGACCGATAGCCCCCCGAAACAATACAGAGAAACCCTGTCTCGTTAAAAAAAAAAAAAGATGTGTTACCTGTGCTTATGCTGCGGAACATTTGTTTAATGATGCAAAGATGTGTTGTATTCTCTTATGCTGCCTTAGTTTAACTCTGCAAAGCTGTGTTACTTTGCCTGTCTAATAAATAGCAAGGCAGGGGAAAGGATAGTCAGGGCTGGCAGGCAGAGAGACTAAATAGAAGGAGAAATCGGGGAGAAAAGGAGATCAAGGAGAGAGAAAAGAAGGGGCCAGGCACTCAGCAACACAGCCAGACACGGAATCAGAAGGAAAGAAAAGATATACAGAAAAAGAAAAAGGTAAAAGCACAAACGTAGATGGGATAAATTAAGTTAAGAAAAGCCAGCTAGATATTAGCAAAGCTAAGACTGGGTATAAATAAGAAAGAATAAACCTCCGAGTGCATTTATTTGGGAGCTGGGTGGCAGACCCCCAAAAAAGTAAAGAGCCCAAAGAGCAAAAAAACCACAACCACTACACACTTCTGCTGTCCAAACCAATTACTCCTCTGGGCTTTGTCTCAGAAGTCTAGGAAACTAATAGATTCTATGCCTCCAACCAAGATCCTTCTCCTTGGCTTTGTCTGGGTTTTCTCTGGACAGCACTCTGTGTGGACCAAGCGGAAGGTTTTGCCTTAACCTGCAAGCAGGGACTTTCATCTTTACTCTCCCGGTCTACTGAGTGTCACTGCGTTCTGTGTCATGTCCCTAAGCAACCAGACGTCATTGCTGTTCATCTGCACTGGTGGTGTGAAATTGTTTTTCTGTCCTCAGTTTCTCCATCGCAACCTATTATCTGGAAAGCTACCACAGTGACTTTCACTTAAAACTGTGAAATTGATTTTCAGTATTTCAGGGCATTTTGGAACTCCTAAAGATATACATATATGCACATACATACACACATTTATATGTATACACACACATATATACATACACACACATATATGTACGTGTGTAAATAATGCATATTTGAAATATATCTCAGTTAACTTTTTAAAAGATGCCTTACAGAAGTAGGAAAAGCCCCCAGGTGATTTGTGACATACTTTTTGAGCATGAAAAGACCTTTTAATACACATAAAATAATAGCTGGTAGTTGTAAGTGACCAGCCTCCCCACTTTAGCAGCCATGACAGGCTACCATGTCCTTGCATGACCTTGAGGCTCCTGTCCTGGTCACTAAGGTCAGATGCCCTCCTTTTGGCAAGAGACCAATCAGAAGTTAGCGGGCAGGGCTGTGCTTTATGGCTCTGGGTGTGCTTTACAGACAGTGCACAACATTGACCAGTGACGTGCAGAGCATAGCAACCACCCTGGGAGGGCCTATGGGCCATAACAACCAGTTGACCAATCAACACAGGGCAGGTCGTCTAAATCTGGAAGTGCACCAATCCTGACACTGTTTCATACCTCTAGACACTCCCCTTACGCTGCCCTTTAAGATCCCTGCCTTGAGGTTGCTTGGGGTCTTTTCTCCAGCCATCCTCTATGGTGGCTGTGTGAAGGGCCCGAGCTGATGGGGTTACCTCGCTAAATATCTACAATAAAAGGCTCTTTGCTTTTGCATCGAAATGGGCCTCTTGGTGATTTTTGGGTTCAAGATTTGGGCACAACAGTAGTCATAAGAGAAAACATTGATCAATGAGACTACATAAAAATAAAAAGTGGCAGGTTGTGGGGAAGGCCATGAAGGATTTGGAATACAAAGACTAAATAAAAGCTTCACAACACAGATGTCAGAAAAGGACTAGGCTCTTTCACATATTAGAGAGTGCCTAAAGGGCTGGAGGAGGAATGGTTAGATGGTTAAGAGCACTGACCATTATTCCAGAGGGCACAGGTTTGGTTCCCAGCACTCACACGGTGACTCACAACCATCTGTAACTGCAGACCCAGGGGATCTGACTCCTTCTGGCCTCTGTAGGCACCCGGCATGCTTGTGGTGCAAACCAAAGACACATGCACATAAAATAAATTTAAAAGAAGTTCTAGCCGGGCGTTGGTGGTGCACACCTTTAATCCCAGCACTCGGGAGGCAGAGGCAGGCGGATCTCTGTGAGTTCAAGACCAGCCTGGACTACCAAGCGAGTTCCAGGACAGCCTCCAAAGCCGCAGAGAAACCCTGTCTCGAAAAAAACAAAAAAAAAAAAAAAAAAAAAAAAAAAAAGAAGTTCTATAAGGACAGCCAAGAGACAGACACAAGGCTCACCAGCAGGAAAAGCGCCCACTGTCTCAGTCTGAGTGCAAAGGGCAACTTGTGACCATTTCCACCCTGCCAGGTGGTCTTGGTGATGGCCTTCATGGAGGGGCTCTCTCACTGTCTCTTGGGAAAGGGAAGATAGCACAAATTATTTGGATGGAAATCTGCCAGTTTTGTTTGTTTGGTTTTTGTCACAGGGCTTTACAGCATAGCCCAGGCTGACTCAAACTCATTATCTTCTGTTTCCCCAGTGCTGGAGTTACAGGTGTGGGTTATCACACACAACGACAGTTATCTTTTGAGTCAGGATGCAGATGCACAGTCTCTCTCTCTCTCTCTCTCTCTCTCTCTCATGTGTGCATGTTTCATATACTGGGTATACCAGAAAAGTACCCAATGATGGGGATAGGATACCAGTTAGATAAAGGTTTAAGATATGTATCGATGCTTGGTGGTGGTGGCACAAGTCTTTAAACCCAGCACTCGGGAGGCAGAGGCAGATGAATCTCTGTTAATCTGAGGCCTGCCTGATTTACAGAGTGAAACCCTGTCCTCTCCAAAGATATGTAATGAAATACAGATTTCCAAAATATATTATCAAGGGAAAAGTGAGAATAGACAGAATGTATACTCTAGTTTCATTGTGACTAATTGTGCTATAGCAATACCTATACTTAATATGTATTAAAATTTCTAGACATGTCCATAAATCACACTATAGAATAACTATTTCTGGGAGGTAAGGAGGAGAGTTGAAAATTTGTTTTGCAGCCTTTTTACTCTTTCAATATTTAAAAATCATCTGCACAAGGTAGCTTTAATATTCAAAAATCTAGGTTGAATCAACCACCTAAGGCAATAAATAAGTAAGTCTGGTTGTGTTTCATATCCTCTGATGGCAAAACCCTGGGATGGGGAGGCGCTTGTGATGAGCATACCCTGCTTGACCCACTTGTCCCAAGGAACATTCTGGAAGGATGCAAAGTGTGGCCTGAGTCTCCGGAAATCCGGGTCTACTTCCAGGGAGGGGAATGTGGCTCTTCACTTACATCAAAGGGTTCCTCTTCCTGCTTGTCAAAAGGCCCATTCATTATAGTGTCCCAAAAGGATCCTTGAGGGAAGCTCTCCGGGGCTTTCGGTTTGGGAAGGAATGTCGGAAGGAGGCACATTTGGAGGGAAAACCAAACCAGAGAGAAAAGGGGAAAAAATAGAAAAGAAATAGATTTACTACCTCACCCTCATCACTTCAATAAAAAAAAAAACCCACAGGCATCACCAGGCATCAATTACGTAAGGTTCGACATGGGAGTAATGATAAAACGGGCATGGGATAAGTAATTTCAGTGGCCTACTTAAGGGAGCTGCTGTGGTCTCGGTGTCTGATGGATGGCAACTGGACAAAGTGATGTTTGAATGAGGCAGGTGGACAGCAGGCAGATGGCTAGCGACTGGGTGGTACTACCCCCCCCCAACTGATGCCCAGACGTGAGACTGGAGAGACATGTTAAAAAACTGCAAAACACTGGATACCTGGGGTGGGGTTCAAGAAGGTGACTGGGGAGCCAACAGAGGAGATGGAGGGCAGGGGCTAGCTGCAGAGGTCCTTGTGGGTTGTCAAGAGGGGCTTTGCCTTCTCCAGGGAGATTCAGCCTGAATGTGTCTTTATGTCACAAGTTCCAAGACCTGTATCTGTCTCGAACTGGTTCTCTCAAATTTGCTGGTCTCTAGACTTGCCTATGGCTTACCACTGCTAAGTGAGATAGGAGAGGGTTCCCCAGTCCAAAAGGCTGAAGAGCATCTACCAGAAACGGTGCACGTCTTTGAGTTTCAGAGTCAGTCCTAGCCTGGAGGCTTAACATTGAACTGTAGAACTGATAATTATAACTCTGGTCTCCCCACCCCCACTCCCGGGATGGTGTGGCTCCAGAGGTAGGGCTTGGAGGAAGGTGTGGCTCTGGCTGGATAATGACAGTGACTTGTTGCCTCAGCTTCAGGATGATACAGGTTCTTCCAGCTGGGACATCCAGAGAGCCCAGAAAACCCAGTGAGGAGGCACAGGATTGGTTTAGTTCATTTAATTCTATGCCCTTATGCACGTAGGGCCCTGAGCAAGGGTATTCCTTGTGGTCTCCACCTGTTAATTTTGGGTTCAGCAGAAAAAGTCCCTACTCCTCCTTACTCCTGACAGGGTGACTGAGTAGGTTCCTTCTGTCTGCAGACCTCATGCATACCCACCGTTTGATCTAGACAAGCTTGTGGTAGCTGAGATTTCACAGGTGGCCATTTCCCCCTTTACTCTTACATACACATTTCACCACCTCTGGGGTGCTAAAGACACGGTACGCTCCGGCAGTAGTTTCGAGAAGCCACCTGGGAACACCCGGCAGGAACCCATTAGGGTTCCGGCAAGCACTCAGGAGTTCCCTGTAGCCAACATCCGAGAGGAAGAGGGAGTGGACAGGCATGATGGGAGCCCACGAGACTGCAAGGCAGGTGGCAAGGGCTAGATGCTCTTTCTCTACTGCGATGCCACTGACTCCTGTGGCCACCAGACATGGAGGCTGAGCCTGACTAGGGCCTGACACCAGCGACCTCTTATTTTAACAGGCTTTCCCGAATAACCCAGAGTTAACTGAAGGGGAGAATGAGTGTTTGTTGAAAGAAGGAGGTGATCTTGTCCTCCCTGAGTACTAAGCAGGGGTACTCAGCGGGCGGGCTCAGCGTGATCATTAAGCTTATTATCATCACTGGGTTCCATGCTCCTGTCAGCAGAGCACCGCCAACAGCAGCGGTGGGGAGCGGTGACTGGGCTGAATAACAGACTCTTTATTTCTAGTTAACGGTTCCTTTGGGGGTTTTCTGCTTCCATTCTGATGAGATCATTGTCTGTCCCACGGAGGGTGGGGAGAAGGGTGCGCCGGGCCAGGAGCGTGAGTGGACCTGTCTCATCAGACCTTACTCCTCCCACATCCTAGCCCTCCACCTGGGCCATCAGGACAGGAAGGCTCATCTTTAGGGTGGCTCGGAGGCCAGAGCTGACATAGCACAACACGCGATGACATACAGTTCCTGATAGCACATTCCCCCTCTCATCTGACTGTGAACACATTTTGATTCCACCTTGTTTGGGAGTGTCTCTGCTGAGACTGTTCTGGATGGAACTGCACACTTGGTTGCATTTCTGTTAAGGCTCTTCTTGATAGAACTGCACTCTTGAAGGTGTGATAAATGTTGAGCTGTGTATATTTCCCACACAGAAAACCTTTGGTTGGCCAAAGTTTACTTACCTCCTGAGCTGTCTCCTTGGTCATCTGTTCACTTCTTTCCAAACCTAGTTGTAGCAAGTGCCTCGCCGAGTCTGTTTAGCGGGAGAGTCACACCCCAAGACCCGAGCATCTCAGTCCCAGCCCGGATTCTTCACGGGCCCAGAAAATCCAGCAAGCCAAGTGTTTGATCAGTCTGACTTGCGTTCAGTGAGACCCCCTCTCCCCCAGATGTCTCCTCACGGTCATCTCCATCCACTCACCTCTGCCTGTTCCTTGCACGTGAATACCACTGTTCAAGGCTGTGTTTGTAACTGAGCCCCACAGTTACAAAATCCCATCACAAAAATCCCACTGCCAAGGTCCTTACTGCATCCCCTAGTCCTACTGCTCTGGCTCCCAGTAAGACTCCTCTGGCTGTGTCACTGAAGTTTTTGTTTGACAGCAGATGAGGGGAGGGAGGAGAAAACAGTGTCTAGTCCTTGGCCAGCTCTGAGCAATGGGCAGCCCTACCCCACAGACTAATGAATCCTGTCTTCACCCCTCCACTCTTCTTTCCCAGACCTAGCCATCTGGAATCTGCATCCAGACAGGATTCTCACTACTAGGGAAGAATTCTTCCACTGAAGTAGATTTCCAACACAACCGTGTCACACATTAGCATTTGAACAGCGTTTATCCAAAACAACTGTGGCAATGGACTAAGATGGAGAAAATCCTATTTAACAGGTAACTATCTGGAGTTGTAGAGAGGTGCATCGTCTAGAGTCTGAGGTGTGGGAGGGTATTGAATAGGGTGTTAGTGTATATTTAAGATCAGAACACTCAGCCCTTTCCCGTCAGTTTAGTCTCTAAATTGTTTTCTGGTGAGCATGGCTCTGGGTCGTTGCTCCTATTAGGTGATGAAGATATGCTGTGCAGGTTGGGATTTTCTCCTGTCTTAGTCTTTAATGGGAGTCCTCTCAGCCCTCATTAATAAACACTGAACGCCTCAAAGGACTCCATATATAGGCGTGCCAAGCCTTTTCTCTACATAATAGACTAGCCCAGTGACACAGCGCATCTCAGAAAGCTGTTTCCGTGACCTCGGGAACTGAGCCACAGCGTGGATCCACTGTAAATGTGGAGTCCCTCTCTGTACCAAGGCTTTTGAACATGGAGACAGACTTCTAGTCCTCTGCCGCATGGGCCATTCTGCTTTCCTCTGAAGTCTCCTATTTTCTGTTTTGGTCTCCTTCTTCAGGAGGGTTGGGGGCTGTGTGCCAGCATATCTCCAGGTTCCCCTCCAGGGCTTGATATACACCTCGTTAGCAAGGGAGCAATCACCTGCGGGCATCTTCCCAGCCCACAGTACTCTGCAGGAATCTCTAAATAGTAGGCTAAGGTGGACTCTTACTCTAATCTTCCTCTTTCTCTGTTTTACTGGCCTCAAATGCTGAAAAGAATAGGAGAAATTATTACTGCCGTGTGGATGTGTGTGCACCTCTTAGTCCCTGAGGGAATCGATTTTAAAATCACCTCTTAAGTAGCTGAGGGAGAAAGGTGATGGCTGGAGATCACACATACAGAGAGAAGCTAGGTCCACAGCAGTCAGGGGCCCGTGGGGACACTCCGTGAGCATTGCCCCTTCCCTTTGTTCCTGTTTCTTCTTTCTCATTAGAGTTTGGAGATATCTTCCTCAGTGAACAAAAGAGCCACTGGATGAGCCGTGTATGATTACCATTATTTTCCTACTTGCCTCCAGCCATAGTTACTGCTTCTTATCCTCTCAAACCATCCATGCCCCTGCCTCTATGTTCCAGGGATGATGCCTTGGCCATGGACGGTAAGTGAGGATGCCTGGCTGAGGGAACACTCTCCTCAGCAGGGCTCAGGCTACTTTCGCCCTTCTTACCTTCTTGTAACTGGGTTAGGAACTTCTACAGTCATTTAAACTCATCATAACCATTACCTTCCAACTCAGATTTCTTCAGTGTTAACGCGGCGGAAGAGTCTTGGTCTAGAATTGTTTTTGATATTAAGGGCCTTCCTGTGAAAAGATGAAAGAGAGTGGCCATTCTGATTTTTAGGGCTTAGCAATGGGTCCATGTTGTACATATGGGTCTGTACACTGGGGTTCTAGGCAGCCGAGGGCTGACTGAGGGAGGGGGAGGGTGGAGGCTGCAGGGTATGACTGCCTTGACTTCTCTGGTGACTTACTGGAGGACTGGAGTAACTGTGGTCTCCCCTGGCCATCCCTGGGCTAGCATGGCTGGAGGTCAGGGTGGGCTCAGAGGTTCGCGCCAAGAACTCCCCAGGAGACACATATTGGGAACAGCACAGCCAGCTGACAGATCTGCTGAGCTCCTGCTTCCTTTACTGTGTTTTCCTTAGACCTTACACACGCTACGTCACTCTGGTTTATGTCTTCTGAAACTTCCATTTCTGCTCCTTTTTGGGTTTCGTGCCACCATCTCTTCTTATTCCTAAACAGGTGCGCACCCAAGCACGCGCGTGCGTGCACACACACACACAGTTCTCTTACAGGCACATAGGCACACACGCTCTTACACACAGACTGTCTCACACATACTCTTACTCACAAATACACACACTCCCTCTTACCCACACATATACACACAACACACAACACACACACTCTCTTTCACACACACATGCACTTTCTCTCACACACACACCTTCTCTCTCTCTCACACAACACATTCTCTCTCTCACACACTTTCTCTCACACACATACACTCTCTCACACCTTCTCTCTCTGTCTCTCACACACACTTTCTCTCTCACACACACACTTTCTCTCTCTCACACACACTTTTTCTCACACACTCACATACACTCTCACACACCTTCTCTGTCTCACACACACACTTTCTCTCACACACTCACATACACTCTCACACACCTTCTCTCTCTCACACACACACCTTCTCTCTCTCACACACACACCTTCTCTCTCTCTCACACACACTTTCTCTCACACACACTTTCTCTCACACACTCACATACACTCTCACACACCTTCTCTCTCTCACACACACTTTCTCTCTCACACACCTTCTCTCTCTCACACACTTTCTCTCACACACACACTTTCTCTCACACACACTTTTTCTCACACACTCACATACACTCTCACACACCTTCTCTCTCTGTCTCTCACACACACTTTCTCTCACACACACTTTCTCTCTCACACACACACTTTCTCTCACACACTCACATACGCTCTCACACACTTTCTCTCTCTCTCACACACACACTTTCTCTCTCACACACCTTCTCTCTCACACACACATTCTCTCTGTCTCACACACACACTTTCTCTCACACACACTTTCTCTCTCACACACACACTTTCTCTCACACACTCACATACGCTCTCACACACTTTCTCTCTCTCTCACACACACACTTTCTCTCTCACACACCTTCTCTCTCACACACACATTCTCTCTGTCTCACACACACACTTTCTCTCACACACACTTTCACTCACACACACACACTTTCTCTCACACACACTTTTTCTCACACACTCACATACACTCTCACACACCTTCTCTCTCTGTCTCTCACACACACTTTCTCTCACACACACACCTTCTCTCTCACACACACACTTTCTCTCTCACACACACACTTTCTCTCTCACACACACACTTTCTCTCACACACACTTTTTCTCACACACTCACATACACTCTCACACACTTTCTCTCTCTCTCACACACACACTTTCTCTCTCACACACCTTCTCTCTCTGTCTCACACACCTTCTCTCTCTCACACACACTTTCTCTCTCTCACACCTTCTCTCTCTCTCACACACACTTTCTCTCACACACACTTTCTCTCACACACTCACACCTTGCATTCTGTTCTTGGCAGCAGAAGAGGAACAGGCACATGAGGAAAAGGAAGCACAATGCTACACCATTTACAGGAGGGCTAGGTTTCCATCCGGCTCTCAGTGCGTGATCCCCAGCAGTCCCATAAATAAGAATGCTAAGCTCAGAAAACACATCTGTCTTGGTTAGGGTTACAATTGCTGTGGTGAAACATGATCAGAAGAAACTTGGAGAAAAAAGGACTTATTTGGCTTACACTTTGACATTATAATCCATCATTAAAGGAAGTCAAAACAGGAACTCAAACCAGGCAGGAACCTGGAGGCAGGGGCTGATGCAGAGGCCAGGGAGGGTGCTGCTTACTAGCTTGCTTCCCCTGGCTTGCTCAGTCTGCTTTCTTATAGAGCCCAGGACCATCAGCCCGGGGATAGGACCACCTACAATGGATTGGGCCCTCCCTGCATTGATCACTAATTAGGAAAATGCCCTACAGGCTGGGCCGCAACCTCATCTCATGCAGGCTTTTTCTCAGCTGAAGTTCCCATTCCTCAAATGACTCTAGCCCGTGTCAAGTTGACGTAAAACTAGCCAGCACATCATCCTACCACAGAATTGCCTTGACTGACAGGAGCCATCTCTCCTCTGCCCTGAGCAGTCTGTCCCCGCTCTATAGGACAGACCACGAGGAGGCAGCTTGCGGCACTGTGCAGTGAGTACCAACTGCTCATCAGCAATTGCCATCTTCCAGACGAGCACGCTGCTTCACGTCAACAGTTCTTTGGGTTATGGTGTCTCAGGTTCACCTAAGCCCAGCTTTCTGCCGAGCCCCAGCCAACAGACTTCTATTCCTTGTAGAATGTAGTATTCCCCGCAAGTGAACACGTCACCCCAGGCCGAGTGTAATAGCCGTTGCTCTTGGTTACGTTAGCTTTTCTTGTCCCGTTTACCCACTGGGATATTGCTGAGTGAGACCTGGCAGTACACAGGTCCCCTCCAGCTGTGCCCCCTCACTCCCCCTTACTTGGTGTTTGGGGGAATCTAACAGAGCAGCATCTGTTATGAATTACCAGCGTTTTTTATTTTTTCCTAACCCACTCCTGGCCTGTGTTTCTGCCTGTCAAAATCTGGACTCTGATTATATTATCAAATGCAGCTCACCCACAAACAGAAACAGTTCTTCCACATTTGCAAAGGCTGCCCCGGGGAGAGCCTCATGGCTTCCCACTGGAGATCAGGTTGAGTCTGAGCTATCCAACAGTTCCCTGGGGACTGTTCTCTTCTCGCTGCGTCGTCTCCTGATGCTCTGCCTTGTCCCCAGACACTGAGAAGCCTTTGGACATTAAAGGCCATTAAAAAAAAGACAACCAACATTAAAGGATTGTTCCTGACGGCTGTATGCTGGTTGTTGAGGCCGGGATACTCTCAATATCTGTCCTAGATTGGCCATGAGCTCATCTCCCCAATTTCTTAAAACTCCTTTGATCCCACAAAGATAGCTGAGCCAGTTTTGTTCTCTCTATATTTAAGGGCTACTTTGTCTAGGCTGGAAGGCAGCAGTCACCATTCTCTTCTGACTTTTTAAGCAACTTTGGTTTCTGATACTTCTTATTCAGTTTGTTGTGCTTTTTCTAATCCAAAGGTGGTTTTCTTTCCCAGTGAAGTAAAAAACGAAAGAGTGGATGTAGAATTTGACTCTGCCATTGCCAGCATTGAGGAGTGTAGCCAGGTCTGTTATAACCTTCTTTGTGCTCTAGTTACTTTTTAGCAGAGCCCCAGGGGCTGGAGAGATGCCTCAGTGATTCACAGCACTTGCTGCTCTTGGATTTGGTTTCCGGCACCCGTGTCTGGTGGTTCACAACTGTCTAAAACTGCAGTTCTTCTGGCGGTGTCCAGTGCCCTCTTCTGGCTTCTGTGGGTACTGCACTCACATGGTGCATATACAGACAAGCAGATATAAATAAAAGAACCCCTGTTTTTGTTCTTCAACTTTCTTTTTATTTATTATTTGTGTCTTTCACATCATGACTCCAGATCCCACCTGTCTCCCCTCCCATAATAAAACAAAATAAAATTTAAGGGAAAAAGAAAGGAAAAACCTTGTCATGGGAGCTGCAGTGTGACACAGTCAGTCACGCAGTAAACCCCTTTATCCACACATGTAGGCATTCATCCTAAAGAATCAGCAGTCTGGTCCGAGGCCCCTGGTTTCTGCTGTACTGTCAATGCTGGGCCATCACTGGGACTCTTCCTGTGTCATGGAGACTTTGTAGTCCTGGGCCCACAGGACTGGCATCCCCCTCCGCAGTTCATGGTCCAACATATCACAGATAGGGTGGATGTTGGGGTGGGCCAACACAGGCCCCTCTGTTTTTTATCTTAATATTGTTGCTATTTGACAGGAATGTCTCTCCTTAGATTCAGTTTTCCAGACCACATTCTTAAAGTTCAAAACCATTCATTTTTCTTCATTCATGTCTAAGAAACATCACCATTTTTTTAAACCTCTGCACTTGACTCTTTGGAATCCCAGACTAGGGACCAGAGGTATGGCTTTGGTGGAGCACATCCTGCACGCTCAAGTTACTGAGATTCATTTCCAGCACTGAAAACGAAATCCAAGCCCACGGCCACCAAAGGACACACTGTGCAAACACACTGGTTCACACTCTGGGGAGTTTTCCACTGGTTCACACTCTGGGGAGTTTTCCAACGCTGGCCACATCTCTCTTGCCAGGGGGCTTAGAGGATCACAGCCCCGCTCATCCACATTTTCAAACACATGCTTCTATCTGTGTCTTTAGAGTAGGATGTGCTACCTAATCTAGAATCAGGAGAGGGTTCAATCACACTCTCCAAAGCTTTAACAAGTGTATAGCTGCCAGCTATGTGCCAGGTGCTAAGTCTCGATTTTTCTGAGCCCAGATGTAACACCCAGTGTTAGGATTTCTGGACTCCTTTGCTTATGACCTACCACATGTCTAGGTAGACAGTCTTTTGGGACTGTAAACAAGCCTTTCTGGTCCTCCCTTCTGGATTGTGAGGAATTCTCGGTTCTTTAGTATTCTTTCCATGCAAGTTGCCCCCTTCTGGGAGAACAAATTTCAGGGATTTATCTGGGCAGTTTTGTGAGTGAAATCTGTGCCATACAAGATACTGTTCCTGACCTGTGTGTTCCCAACAATGTCATAATGAAGAGTTCCTCAGACACAAGAGCCTCGGCCCCATAAGATTTATTCTGAGCTGAGTAAAGGTCCCCAGTTCACCATCGTTCATGTTGTGAAGTCTTCCAGGGTCCGTGCTAAGAATGCTGACCTCAGCTCATCTCAGGCAAGGATCCAGATAAGGGCTAGAAACAAGCATCTTTGCTGGACTCTTGGATCGTGCCTGGTCTCATCTCCACCCTGCCCTGCTGGCCTTCAGTCCCAAGCTCTCAGCCCTGTGGTCTGCTTCTACCAGTTGCTGTGTTTCTACAAAAAGCGGAAGGTACTTTCTCCTGAGAAAGCGGATCCTTAGCTGTTTCTGTCCTGTGTAGGAATCTTCAGTAGCACATGCCCTGGTGTCAGGGGTCTGTCTCTCCTCCCCACCTCCTGACCTGATTTGTGCTTCCCCGCCATCCTTGACGGGTACCTCCAGGTCCTGTCCATTCTCGCTCATCCCCTTTGGAGAAGCCACAGCTCTTTTGCTAGCCTCTCTCTAGCTTGCAGCCAGCCTGTGATGCCACTGGTGGGCATCTCTGTGTCGTTTGGGACTTTAGTCCGTGCACACACTCTGGCGAGGCTGAGAATGGGAAGTGATTCAAAATCATTTCCCAGTATAGCGTGGCAGGAGGCACAATGGGCTTGCCTCTGAAAGCTGCCTTCATGGGTGAGCCTGGTCACCATGATCTTGTTTCCCGGGCTTAAGAGACTTCCCCCGGAGAGTACAGCCTTCTTCAGCCAGATTGGACATAAATACGCTCCTATATTTGGCAGTGACCCCATCCCCGAGAGATGCTCAATTCTCTCAGCCCCTGTTCTCCTACTTGGTCCATTCATTGACCATACAGCCGTGTTCCAGTTACCCTCAGAGTCCTCCAAAAGATTATAATCCACAGGCAGAAGACGAAAGAAAATGCTCCATGAATTTTCAGGGACTGTTTGCTCTTCCTTGTGTTTCAACCTCCGCTGCAATGACTCAAGGGAGAGGCTGCCTCTTCCTAAGGTTTGCTGGGGTGCACTGACAAGAGACAAACTAGACCCGATACACAACTGGATGGTGCTTGGATGAAACCACAAAATGTTAATCACTTTAGAAGCTTCGAAACCCTTTCCATGGTGGTGGGGGTGGGGGTGGTGGGGTGTGGCGTATGGGGCGGGCAGAACTGGAAGTACAGACAGGTTTATAAGAACAGACATGATGTTTCAGGGTATCCTATAGGCTCACTTAGTAAACAGTGACCACGGACAATGTCCACTGTCCAGCATGGAGAAAGGAAGGCAAGTGATTCTGTTTGGAATGCTGAGTGGGACTGAAATGGAAGCCAAGAGCGCGTAGCAGAAGTCTGTTCATGCCTGTCAACAGGTTGTAGTCCCTTTCCCCGCAGTAACTGAAAACGCAGAGCAAGCATGAGAGGTGATTACTTTCTTGTGCAGTGGGTACGGACCTTTTCCAGCCCTTGTTGCCACCTTGGGTCCTTGGATTTAATACCACGGCACCGTAGGTGAGTCCACAGTCCACGGACTCATTCTTGACTCTCCTCAAGTAACCGCAGGAAACTGGGTGTGTTGTTATTGAGCCTGGCTTGGAGGCTGCAGAACAGTCCACACCTGTGGCTGCTGATGCTGTAGCATTTGATTAGGAGGTGTTTGCTACGTAATGCCCGGCTGTTCGTGAACGCTTACTCAGTGTTTGGTGGCTTTAAGGCCTCAGTCTTGGGAAGATGTATCGTTACAAAAGATGCTCACACAGATCAGAGAGGCATGGTGCAACCTAAGTGTGGACGCAGGAGTGGTCTTCGTTAAGCCCGGATACCAAAAGGACTGTGGATGAAGGAGGCACAAAGGTCTCAGAGGGTCTTTCTGGTATGTGTCCACAATGGTGCCACCAGACCCTGGGCCTTTCCTTCCCACACAGCCTCTTTATCCTCTTCCCTCCCACATTCATTTAAGCTTAGTGCTGACACTTGCTAGGCAGTTAGTAAGTCCCTTTAGAGTCTTGCTTATGCATATTTAGATAAAAGCTCAGTGTTCTCCCACAGATGTCGCCAAGTCTGCATGGTTCCAGTTCTTGGGGGGGGCATGAAAATTCATCTGTGGACCAAATGAGTTCCTTGAGCCTGGGAAAACACACCATCTTACACCGGCTTGTGTGGGCCTGTCCTCTATGTCTCCACTGTTTCTGGAGTGGCTTGTTCAGCCACCTTTGAGTCACAAAATTTAGCGGGCAGGGGTTGGGGCCGGGAGGTAAGGTGATGGAGAATCTAATTTAACTGCTGTCATGATTACAGATGGGGACTAAATCTGTGCATCAACCATGGGTCGATCCTACCAAGGCTGAACTTCAATGATTAATAATGGTAAGAAATGCTGTTCAGTTTTCCACCGCTAGGAACCAGAGGGAAGGGCTTTTGATCTTAATTGGGCAGGGAATTGAGACCATTGATGCCGTCCCCCTGAAATCTTTTTTGTGTATTTCATTGTAAGATGGTTTGGCCTGGATTTGAGATGGAGCTATGTGGTGATACATTATTTATGATTTATTAAAGCTTGCCTGAGGATTCAGAAAGCAAAGCCAGCCACAAACTATCGAGGTCAGGCAGTGGTGATATACACCTGAAATCCCTGCAGTCATACTAGCTAGCCAGGCAGTGATGGCACACACCTTTAATTTCAGGACTCAGGATTAAGAGGTAGATGGATCTCTGTTAGTTCAAGGCCACACTGGCTACACGAAATTGATCCAGTCCTAAAAGAAACAGCTCACACAAAGGTGATCTCAGAACCTGGGATCAGACTCCTTTAATCCCAGCACTAGGGAGGTGGAGACAGGAGTGATATGGCTGGGCAGAGAGAGGAGTAAAAGGAGGAGGAGACAGGGATTGAGAGTTTTTGCCGCTGAGGATTCGTGGAGACAAGATTGCCATTTCAGCTGGGTAGAGCTGAGAGCTGCTGGCTTGGTTGCTTTGTTTCTCTGATCTTCAGCTTGAAGCTTGAACCCCAATATCTGTCTGCAGGTCTTTTGCAGCTACAGAGCTGTCTTAAGATGAATGCCAAGACACTGTCTGAGGTGACCTTTGTTCTGCTAACTAGTCTCCATGGATATGATCTATTGCCCCAAAGAACCAGTATACAACCTGTGAAGGGAATGCTTTTGCCCCTGAGGGAGGTGCTGCTCATGCTCACACAGCAAAGGACAGGAAGACTAACAAGGGGGAGAGAGGAGGCAGGAAGGCAACACCTGTATCAGCTCTTTGCAGATCCTCCCAGGAGGGTCTGGGATGTGTTGTGGTAGGGGACAGGGCTGCCAGAGGAGTTCACTTCTAACCCAAATATGTCTGGCTTGGCATCCTATCTCCCAGAACTGTGCCATGTTGTAAGTACAGGAGACAGCACTCATGCCTCAGTAACACGCATGCGCGCACACACACACACACACACACACACACACACACACACACATGCACGCACGCACGCACGAACGCTACAAGGCCATTCTGCCCATCTCAGGCATAGGAACACGCCCATGGGGTCCTGGTTGGGTGTAGCCTCCCTTACACAACTTACTCCCAAAGTAGGGCCATTCCGTCTGACTGCTCTGGTCTCTTAGGGCGGCAGGGACTACCAAACTGTAGTAAGAGGACGTGGCAAACTTCAGGTCATGGTCAGAGCTTGGGGGAGTGGTAGTCAGGATATTGAATACTTGAATAGGACTGGGAACTGGGTTCCTGTCAAAGGGGAGGAAAAGGGTTGGTTAATTTACATACAGAAGTCAGGTTTGGAACCCAACTACATGGCTACTTATCAGTCCCAGGTGGCTGAGTTCAGAAGACTAGAGGCACCAGCTTGTGGATCACACACAATAGACGTGTGGCTCCTCCATGCAGCCAGCTGCTGTTTCATTAAACCCTGAAAGGATCTATGGATGCCTTCACTGACAGCAGAATATTCTAGAACACTCCCCATCAACCCTGGTCCAGAACCCTGCTTATTATCTCTTTAGGAGTGTGAAAACCACAGAAGTACATGTCATAAATGACAAAAGGCCAGGGTAGCATGCCATGATTTTAGAGCAGTTAAAGTTGAACATGGAGGTTTGTCCCTGTGGGTGGCTCACTGCTGTCTGAAGGGATGTTCATGTGGATGGTAGAGTGTTGGGATGAGGTGTGGGCTCTGCAGCTGAGGGCCAAGGAGGACAATTCCAATGGACTATGGCCTTTCTCAGGAATATCTGGGTTTTTACTGGGTCCAGATTGAAATGCAAAGGAATGAAAGGGAGTGTCCACTGTGAAATTATTTAATATCAGTTGGTCTACCTGGCAGAGACAGGCTGAAGGAGACAGGTCCAACAGATCTGGGGGTGGTGACAAAGTCTGGTGAGAAACTGTAGGGTACTCCTCTGAGGTACTCAGGCCAAAAGACATATGAACTCCTAAGCACCCCTCCCCCCCCAAGCCCCTGTGGTCCTTAGAATTCTCTGTAGGGCTCCAGGGGATTGAACATGTTCTCAGTGAAATATGGATGAAGTTAGGATGGGTGTGTGCGCTTGGAATTTAGATGATCTGGGGTCATGACTTTCACTGTTGGACATCCTGGGCACTCAGACATGCTGTGACTGGCAGCGTGACACAGGTGGGCGCTGTGGTGACTTCCAGGAGCTCCTTACTCAATGCCCTTCCTCAGGGACTTGCTCCTTAAGACCTTCTCCACTTCTCCCTATCTTTGAAAACGTGACTCTCACCTGGCTTATCCCAAAAGAGTATTACCTTGCATTAAGACTGGATTGGACCGCTGCTGTGCCAACTTCCTTGAGTTCTGTTGGGGAGAGAAAGAACAGAAAGGCTTTATTGACCCACACAGAGCCCTTTTCTTTACACTGAATATACCTTGTTGCATCCCTCATGGTGAGGACGAGAGGGTCTGGGCTATAGAAATCTTCTGCTTCTGCCTCACCTCAGTGTTCTCTCTCTTAACAGTTCTCTTTAAACATTAGGAGATTTAAACTGGAGAGAATTCAAGCAGACAAGACTCCGAGTTTACTCCGCTAACCTTAGGCACTCGCAGTGCCTCTCTGCCACAGGATTAAAGGATGGCTCCTCAGCAGAGGTGCCAGGTGGAGCAGGGGCATGGGTATTTAAGATTAGAAAGATTTTTTTCTTTTTGGATCTCTTTACACAGTTCCAGCTGTCCTAGAACTCATTATGTGACCAGACTCAAACTCACAGAGACCTATCCACCTGCCTCTGCCTCCAGAATGCTGGGATTCAAGGCATGCACTAGAATTTTAACCATTGGGGGCCACTTAACAATCTGATCGTTTTTAGCGATACGACATCAAGAGCTCAAGTAAGCTGCCATCAAATCAAAGAGTTACTAGAGTCCAGCATGGTATCCGGGGCATGGCTGATGTTGACTGTTCCTGAGTAGATGTCCCCCAGCCCCTTTTTCACTGCCCCATAATCTCCTGTCCATTTCACAAAGCAGGAAAATGTGGCCTGGGAAGACTGGCCACTCATTAGTCAGTAGCAGGGGAATAATATACAATATGATCATGGCTAACCTTCACATTGTCTCAAAATACTGTATGTCTGATGTATCCTATAAGTTAGTCTAGTGCTATCCCTCAGTCAAGAGAAGATGCTAAGACAGGAGATTAAGGGACTTGTCCAAGTTCATGTAACTCATAAGTGAGACAAGAGCTGGCATTTAAGAAGTCAGGTCACTAAGAAAGAAAGTCCTTCTTTATGGCAGACTCCTGTCTGCTATTAATAAACAAATGACAGTCAACTTCATCATGACTACCTGATTCTGTGGCAGGCATGAGTAACTGATAGTAACACTCTTTCCTGCTGTGCCTAGATAGGGCCCCTTAACCCTCTTGAAGTCAGTGACCTACTTCTCCCATCCAAGTACTAACCAGGCCCGACCCTGCTTAGCTTCTGAGATCAGACGAGATCGGGCGCGTTCAGGGTGGTATGGCCGTAGACCAGTGACCTACTTCTAACGACTAGTAATTTACCTATTAGAATGAGAGTTGATAGTTCATATGTCCTTTCTAAGGTTCTTTTTATAAATGCCAATTAATTTATTAAAAATAAGCATGCATGTCTGTTTATATGTGTGTATGTATTTGTGTGTGCACACATGTATGTGTGTGTCTTTATGAAATAAATCTGATTGATTGGTTGATTCAATTTGATGCATTCTGCTAAGGATCAGGATGGCATTCTTGTTCAATACTGTGTCCCATAATAGTTATATCTTAAAGATATTTAGAGAATATTTCTACATTAAAAACCTTGGTGTAGATTCTTTCGAAAAACTAAGAATTCTCTTTTCCACCCACTCATAACCTGTTTTGCATAATCTAGTGTGGTATTGGGGTTTGTGTAGCCCAAGGAGCTCTTCCCTGTGCCTTTAGAGTCATTCTAGTATTCCCCTGCAGGGTTGCCAGTGCTTTTCCAATTTTTGCTGGCAGGTCGTTTATTTTCAAATCCCGTGCTTTATACACAGTTCTGTTCACTCGACAGCATTGTATTTGTCCTGCTCTAGTGGGTAATATATTTACCAAGATCCAGCACACAGAGGGGACACGTTGGGAATGCTTGATCCAGCCTGTGCAGAAGAAAAGCACGGTTGTTACTTTCCAGTATTAACATTACACTTGGTGTTTGGACAGCAGGGCTATTAGATCCCTAGAGGAAGCTTGATGGTAGAGGTGCCTAGAGAAGGATTTCCCGGACATAGAGCAGTTATTTCTGTAATGCGGTCACTCAACTTCCACGAGGGTGGTTGGAATCAATGATTTGTCTGATGAGATGCAGGAAGATGAAACGATAAAAGCTGAGGGTAACGAAACTGGACCCAGAAAAAAACAGTCCTTAATTTAGGTCTCCATCAAGATGATGCAGATGTCCTGGGGTTTTAAATTTCTGTGCTTGACTAGATGGTATCGTGCAGTCATGACATCAAGGAAAGATGCCACATGGATCTCTGTGCCAGGACACATTAGCCAAAGCTAGCAAATAGCACAGTGGCTGCTGCTGCCAGAATAAAACCCAACTCGAGATGATGCTGCCAATCGCAGGAACAGTGCTGGAGAAAATGTCAGTCTTTGGCTGAGAGCCATCACCCAGGAGCATTGTAAGACTATTCCTTCTAGGGGGCTGAGCAGGTAACCTGAGAAGTGGCGTCTGGTGGCCTAGCGTCAGACTGTAGGCCTGTGTTCTAGAGAAGACTCATTATGTAGCAGAGGATGACCTTGGATTTCTGTTCATCCTGCCCTACTTCTTGAGTGTTGTGATTATAGGCATGCACCACCATCTCCAGTTTATGTGACGTAGAGGATCAGCCCTAAGGCTCATGGGTGCTAGACAAGCACTCTACCAAATGAGCTACTTCCCAGGCTCAAAGGGATGTTTATAAAAGTATCAATAAACAAGGAGTGGTAGACCTGTAACCCCAGTACTCAAAGGCCTAGGCAGCAGGATGCCCTCAAGTTGAGGTCGGTCTCAGATACACAGTGAATGCCGTACTCACTAGGGTTACATAGGCAGACCCTGTCAACAAAACAAAATGAGACAAAAGGTAACACTAAAGTTGGAAACAATAAATGATCAACAGCAGGGACTGAATAGCAATATTGTGGTTTAGCTTGGGGTAAGTGTGGATGGACAAGTGGGGTAATGGGGAGAGGATACTTAGTGGGCACAAGTAGTCAGGATGAATGACTTCGAATGCTCTGTAGAAAAGAAGGATAACTGTGGCTGACAACAATTAACTGAGTATTTCAAAATAGTTAACACAGAGGATCTTGAATGCTCCCACCATAAGGAAGAGACACATGTATGAAGGGCACGTTTCTCAGCTTCCTCATTTGATTGTAATGACACACTCACTAATGTGTGCAACTGTTATTGAAGTTAAAAAGAAACATAAAAAGAAAAATTAATACATTCAATTCATAAAATTATATTCACGAAATGCAATATTTGTAACCACAAGGTAGAAATATCTAAATAAGTGTGCCTTACAACAAGCACCAAAAAAGCAGATCCTTCTCCCAAATTTATCAACCTGCTAACCAATACAATACTAACATCTTACTAGTAAATTATGTACATGTAATTAGTCCGTATAATATATGTGCCCATATATGTATATGCAAGTCTAAAGGAGGGTAGAACCAAAGTATGGGAAATGCTCATCATCATTGGTGGTAATTTTTTCTTTTTTATTGTGCATGTGCACACACATGTGTACACATGTTCACATGTGGGTGGACTCTGAAGGACAGCCTGGAGTGTCATCCTTATGAACTTTCTTCTTTTTTCCTATAGTGTGTATGGTTTCTAAAACACCCATGATAAGGCTTCATTGCTCATTAATAAAGGACAATGTTGTTGCTGTTATTGAACAGATTGAACATGATGTCGCTCAGTTGGCAGAGTGCCTTCAGGACATAAACTGAGGGTGGTGGTGCAGGCTGTAACCCCAGCACTTGGGAGGTAGAGGCAGGATGTTCAAGGTTATACTGGGCTACAGGATGAATTTGAGGCCATTTGGGGATAGATAAAGCCCTGTATCAACAAACAAATGGCAAAAGAACAAACCAAACAGGGCAAACAGGGCACTTCACATTCTTTTTTTTTTTTTTTTTTTGAGACAGGGTTTCTCTGTATTGCTTTGGAGTCTATCCTGGAACTCATTCTGTAGAACAGGCTGCCCTCGAACTCACAGAGATCTGCCTGCCGAGTGCTGGGATTAAAGGTGTGCACCACCAACATCTCTCTCTCCTTGATGATCTCTAGGCACGGTGTCCCGTTGTAGATATGAGCAGTTTGGTCCTTGAGGCACCTTCTCTGTCAGCACCATGGACAGAGCAGCCAGTGCTGGGTGGTTTTTTTTAGTCTCTCACCCTTAGCTGTTTCTGCCTGAATATCTAGGCAGCCAGAGCTATCCTCTTCCATCTCATCCACTGCCAGATGCTCTGTGTCATAAAACTACCACCCCATTCCAGATGCTTCTCTAGACACCCTCCCCTAGATACACACTCGCCTCCAGATGCTTCTCAGGACACCCTTCCCGACAGATACTCACCCTCTTCCAGGGGCGTCTGAAGCTTCCTTTCTTTTAGATACGTGTTCTCCTCCATAAATGCTTCTTTAAACAGATATGTTTCATGCTGCAAAAATGTTTTCTCATCCAGATAATCCTCCTCCTCCAGGTACTCCTCTTCCAGAGATTTGTTGCCCTCCGTAGACTCCTCATCCCATTGAAACAATTCATCATGCGCAAACTCCTCAGATTCATAATCCTCACTAGACAGAGATTCCTCCAGTGAACTCTCCTCTTCTTGTTCTTCACTATCCTCTCCGTTCCAGGAAGCCGAGGAGGAAAGTGGGGAGTGTTTGGAAGACACAGGGGGGCCAGGACCTGAGGGTCCCGGTGATACATTGTTTTCAGACATGATGAAGAAGCCCGAGCGGAGGAGTCTTTCAGTAGCAGGTAATGTTACGATGTTACTTTACCATCCTGGCAGCCAAGAAAGGAATACAACCCTATTAGTAAGCACAAGCCCACGGAGTAGGATGGAGATCCATTCTGTCTACTCAGTTATGCCAGCTGTCCCTTTGTGTGTACAGATAAGTGCATGGTGGCATGAAGGCCTGCCTCTGTCCCAAACAGAAGGGCCAGAGGCTTCCCCCTCAGTAGCTGTAGATGGGAATATACACAGCACAACATGAAGCAGTCAGGCTGGATTGGGGATGTGACCACTAGAGAACTTCAGTACTTTTTAGTTGAGAAATACTTACTGCCACAATCAACAGAGGTCCTGGCCCAAAGATGAACTGTTCCCAGCTATGCAGTCAGTTCCTGTTTGCCAGGGCCTTCAGTATCTGCCTGCCATAGTATGTCTTCTGCCTGTAGCCGGTCTCCTCTAGGACAGCTAGCCTGTGACTAAGGAAACCCAGCCAGCTCTAGATGGGATGCCTAGGAGATGACAGTCACCCTATAGTTATAGGTTGGTCCAAGTTCCCAAGCTTTTCCTGCAAGTACTAGTTAGGCCTCCTTCTTTCTTAGAGGTTGAACCCAAGAAACATTTTGCATCTCATCAGTCCGCATCTTACAGTCTGTTTCCAGGCAACTGCCCTGTGGTAGGCAGCTTCATGCCATTCTGGAAGAGAACTGAATTTAGGAATTAATAAAGAGAAGGGAAGATGTGATGGCTAGTAGCGATTGTCAGCTTGACAGGATGTAGCATCACCCAGCAGATAAACTTCTAGTCTTTCCTGGGAGGGATTATCTGGATCAGATGAGGTGAGCTGGGAAGGTCCACCCTCAAAGGCTTGTGTTCCATTCCGACTGCATGGAAGGCAGAAGGAACAAGCATTTCTTTCTCCCTGCTCCCTGGCCATGGATGCAATGTGACCCTCAGCCTCAAGCTCCTGCAGCCATGACTTCCCTGCCATGATGGAAAATATCCTAATGAAAGCAACTCACGGAAGGAAGAATGGACTTAAGGAAGGATGGATTTTGGCTCACAGTTTCTGTAAATTACTTTTGTTAGGCTATTTTCTCACAGGAGCAGGAGAAGAATCTAAGAAAGTATCACAGGCGGCTACAAAGCAACAGGGGTGACGGTAGGAGTAACTAGAGTGTGTGTGTGGGGGGACTTGTTCTACAGGGAGTGATGGCAGCTGGGACAGGGAAGGGAGGCTTTGAAACTCATCATTAAGATCTGTGGCTGAGCGTGGTGGCAGTGCACACCTTTTAATGCCAACACTCAGGAGGCAAAGGCAGGCAGATCGAGGCCAGCCTGGTCTACAGAGTGTGTTTAAGACAACCAGGGCTATGTAGAGAGAACCTGTTTCAAAAAAATGGGGGGGGGGGAGGGAATGGGAGGAGAAGAGGGAGAGGGAAACTGAGGTTGGGATGTAAGACAAATATAAAAAACAAAAATCAGTTATTAATCCAATTCCAAATGCTCAGCCCTGAAAGCATACATACAACGAACATTAAACAGACTAAACAGGCTGTATTTATGTACTTAGGAATATGTGTCTATACATATACATATATGTATGTGGTAATGAGAAGAGGCTATGAATTTGGAAGAGAGCAGAGAGGAGTGTATGGGAGAGTTTGGAGGAAGGAAAGTGAAGGGAAAATGATGTAATTATACTATAATCTCAAAAATTAAACCAGGGGTGATGGCACACACATTTAATTCTAGCACTAGGGTCAGAGGCAGGTGGATCTCTGTGTTTGAGTCCAGCCTGGTCTACAGAGCCAGTTCCAGGAGAGGTGCCAAAGCTACACAGAGAAACGCTGTCTCAGAAAAAAATTACAAACATGCAAAGTAAAATATAAAAGTACAAACACCTTCCAAATAGAAAAAAAAAAAGAATTTTGCAGTAGGGCGTACCGTGTGACTCTTCCCGGTGACAAGAAGAACAAAATGCATTTACCCCAGATGGGCGTAGATGACAGAAACAGAGAAACTGTTCTACTCCAGTCTAGCTTGGTGAGCCAACGTGTTTATGGAGATTATTGCAGCATCACGGGCCAGGGTAAATTACAGGAGAGTGAGTTTCTCAAAAGAGCTGCATCACTGAAAAAGCCCATTGCAGGCTGGGTGATGATGCAAATCCAGGGTTCTGGGCATGCTCACAGGCTGAACGCAGTTGCTGGAGTCTCCCTTTCCTGGGCAATGTGTAACTAATTGCTCAGGTAACCCTGAGGAGGGCCCTTGTGAGCTCCTTACGTTTCCTTTGCTTCTTGAGTCTTTGAAGCTTTCTCTTCAAGAGGGAAGGTTTTAAATCCAGGGAAATAAGCCGGACCTTGGTGGCACATGCCTTTAATCCCAGCACTCGGGGAAAGCAGAGGCAGGCGGATCTCTTTGAGTTTGAGGCCAGCCTGGTCTACAGAGTGAGTGCCAGGATAGACTCCAAAGCTACACAGAGAAACCCTGTCTCAAAAAACAAACAAACAAACAAACAAACAAACAAAAAATCCAATGAATTAGCCGCACAATAGGTGGTCTCAGAAGACAGAATTACCAGGAAATAGTTCAGTCCATAAAGAGCTGGAGGACCTGAATTCAACCCCCAGAGCACACTGAGAAGATGAGTGTGGTAGTGTGTATTTGTAACCCTACACCTGACATTTCGGCCCTGCAGTCATATAGAAGAACAAAGAAATAGACAATGGGGAAAGATGCCAAGAGTAGCGAATCAGCACTTTGGGCTCCTTTTCTTTTGATGAGGAAAGCAAGCTTTTCTTACGCTGACTCCATCCATTAGAATTTTCTATCTGTGGGAAAGAGCAGCCACGTTAGGGAGCTGCTTCCCTGAAATTTAACTTCTAATGGACCCTAGTGGGGCAGGCTTGCAATCTCAGCCACTTGGGAGGCTGAGGCTGGGGAGTCACAAAGACCTTTCTGAGTTACATAGTGAGTTCAAAACCACCCTAAACAACTTCATGAAATTCTGCCTTAAAAAAAAAAGTAAAAAAAAAATGGCTATAGATGTAGGGCAATGGTAAAGTGCTTGGCTAGCATGAATCACACAGGACTCTAGGTTTAATCCCTGGTACTGGGGGCAAAATTCTATTCAAGTGTGTAGCATTTAGCATGAAAACTTGGTCATGGTTGGTCTGGTCTGTTGAGGTCTAGAACAGAAGCTTAATGTACACAGTGGTCTATTTGTATTTATCTCAGGGTGACTGGGAAAGTGTGTCAGTTAAACCAGCCCCCAGCAAGAGGGTTCTTGTGGGCTTCTGCTGGCCATCAGTGCAAGGTGAATGTCTTTCATGTGGACCACCTCCATGGTGTTTTGGGGGAGGCAAGGTATGAATAACATATGTGACACTGTGACAGAGGCCGCTATCATGGATAAGGGTGGGTGTCTGGAAGTGCTGGACTAAGTCTATATCTACAGGAAACTCCTCCTGTCACACGAAGCCAGTGGAGCGCTATTGGCCTTGAAACCTAAGCAGACCACCTGGGATTGCTTCCACTCACTAACTCCACATGCCTCCAGCCAGAGCTTCAGACGGTGAGAACGATCAGAAAAAAAAAACAAACCCAAAACAAAAACACCCTTATTTGACCAAATGTAAGCTTGGCTCTGGGACTTTCTTTTAGGTTCATCCATGTATGTCCTTGTAAAATTTAACTGTAGCAAGAACTCTGCTAAGAGGTTAGCAACAGTCCCCATTCTTACATTTTTGGTTGTGAGCCTGGCCTTTAATGGCTGAGCCATCCCTCCAACAGTCCCCATTCCTGAGACCTCATCATCACTAATATCAGATCAGGGTCCTCAGCCTCCACCATTCCCCAGGTCATACCTGATCCTCAGCAAGAATCTTGTCACATCAGTTTCACTATAAACCCCCTGACGCCTGGTATTTAACTTTCCAGGCATCCTATGTCATCCTGGTGTTACCCTCACTGGTCCTCCCTGGTGTTACCCTCACTGGTCCTCCCTAATGTTACATCCTTCCCTGGTCCACAGCAGTGGATTTCCCTTGCCCTTTGTTGTACTCGGAACTGAGCCCAGGTCTACATCAATGTCCCTTATACTCTTAATGCAGTTTTTCTATATAGAATCTATTTTTACTGTTTCAGTGCCTGCTCATTTTGGGGTCTGTTTTCTGACAGTGGGGCTGTCCAGTCTGATGGGTGAAGAGCACGCATACATAGGCTCATCAAATGCTCATCTTTGAGATTTCTTCTTAGCTGCTTAAGGAATCGAAATCAGCCAGGCTCCTGGACGGACCAGATTGCATTTATCAACAGCATGCTGTCACTCATGGCTACAAGTCTTTTCTTTCCATTCTTCCCCAACCCCCAAGCCTTGAAAAAAGTGGGGGGAGGGCGGGGACCTAGCCAGCTGCATTCTCATTTCAAAGACCAGAAAGGAAATTATTCTCAACACCTCACTTTAATTATCTTAGAAATGTTCACTAAAAGCCTAGGGCAGAACTAAATCACAACAGCAGCCTGATGCTTGCTGTATGAGTCAACTTGAGGCCCTGACTTGCCTGATAGACTGCAGGCTAATTTCTATGGCTACAACTGGACCAGTGATTTTTTAATGGTGGTTGTAGTTTATGGATTGCTAGACCAGCTCCCCAACATGTCAACTTTCATTCAACCCAGCTAGCAATTTCCATTCAGCTTAAATAATGGATTTCTAAAAGTTGGAGCAAATATTTGCAGTTTTGGAACTGATAAGGAGCTAATAGTTTTGGTTTCTCTTAAACAAAGGAGTCCACCTTTCCCCCTGTGAGACAGATGCTGAACAGAGTGAGTTCTTTGAAGAGACTACTCGTCCAGTCTCTGTCTTCACTACTGCTTGCAATTATTCAGTAAGCAGGGAGGCTAAACATAACCTGAGTCCTGCCGTGTGCCCAACAACAGCCCCTGTTTTCACATCCTCACCCACACTGAGAAAACAAAAGATGCATGAGGGGATGTCTGCTCGTGTCCTGCCTTTAGGGTTGTGGTCCTTGCAGAGAAGTGGACCTCA